CACATTAATACAATTCAGAGCTGATTTTTTTTTTTTTTTTTTGAGAGACTACATTTTGATTTAGCATGCACTTTTTTTGATTAACAACTTTACAAACAGCACATTTTTTGAAAACTTATTTGACCTGCTCGTTAATAGCCTATATAAACATGATCTGAATTATCTGTTGTGATTTCAGGATTGGACTGCTAAAGATTGTCTTGTAAACATTCTTGAGCTGATAGAGAACATCACGGTTCAAGTGCTTCCTTTAAATGTAAGTCTCCATAAGAAAAAATATAAAACAATCAAATCTTCAGTTATATAAAAACTGATCCAGTTTTCTTATGTTGGCTCTCTTGACATTCACATGTAACTGTATCTGTTTGATCAATAATTTAGACAGTGACCAACTATTTAGACATGGTCCTTGAAGCCACAGAGAAGTTTTTAGTGTCTTCATCGTCAGACAGCCCGGCTGAACTGGCCTCATATGGAAACCGTGTGCTGGAATCCACTGAGAAACTCATCTCTACACTGGTGAAGCTGACAGACACAAGTGCCAATGTCAGTTTTACTCTGGAGAATGTAGGTAAGTGGAGACACTTGTGCTAAATATAATAAAAGTTAGTTTATATAGTCTAGTAAGCAGTGATGGGGTGGCACTAATGAAAATGTCTACCGCAAATACATAATTGTCTATCATTACAGAAAATAAATCAAAATAGCACAAATTCCATCAAATTAGACAAATGTCAAGACCGCCAGTAATGTTTTTATCTTCAAAACTATAAGGGAAAGCACGTCTCAAGACTACATTCGTTTAATTGTTGTTATAATGAGATTAAGAATTTGATTTTTCCTAGAAAACTTTGTTGCCGCAGTATTGGTTAAAACTTCATATATGAAGTAAAATCTTGGTCTTTTGAGGTTATATAAGTCTGTTTCCAAGTAGAGATTGAACTATAGACCATATGTGGTTCAATGTGGTTGTGTCATCGGCCCATGAACGTTTCCTGTTTGTTGTCAAACTATTTCATAACTTTATAAAGAGGCAATTCTATCATAAATTAATGTTAAAACAGCTATCATAGTATTATTTATCAATATGTGGCTCTTTTTGGATTCTCGGAAGCAGTAGAAATTAGAAATGCAATACAGGGAAAACGTTGGAACCACTGTTATTGTGTACATCTCTCAAAATGGTTCAGAATCAAAATCTTTACAGAAATAAATATATATTGTGTTAATTTATTGATGAGAGAAATATCTAAATGAATACAGGATATGGAGTGAAGTGTTTAATAACTCCTGCTTTGTTTTTTAATCAGAGGGACACGTTTTCATGGTTGGACCAAATGTCACTTTAAATGAAATCCTTCAACTAAACACAACTAATTCATTTATGGACATTGATCTTATTGGCATTGCCAAGAACAACAAGGACACACGTATGTACTTTGTAGGGGGGACAAGTCAAGATAAACATATCAAATACACTTCGCAGTGTTTTTATTGTCGTTTTTCAGCCAGTATTGCATGCAAGCACCTGTTTCTGTCCCTCAGGATCTGCTGCTGTGGCTTTCATGAGCTACACTATAATGGAGAATCTACTGAAGGCCGACTTCTTCAACACACAAAAAAACACAAATAAAACCATGATGTCCACTGTGATCTCAGCTACTCTTCCCAAAACCAGCAACACTGCACTCACCAAACCAGTCAACTTCACCTTCAGACACATCAGAGTGAGAGACTGAAATGTGTTTTAGTCCAACATCAGCACTGATCAACATCTGAACACATCTAATATTCACTCTGCTCATATTTTCTGCTTGTTTCTTCTTCTTCTTGCAGGAGTTTGACCCCAGCGGTTCTCTGTCCTGTGTGTACTGGAATATCAGCGAGTGGATTGTAGATGGTTGTTCTGTGTTAAACAGCAACAGCAGCCACACTGTGTGTTCCTGTGTTCATCTGTCCACATTCGCTCTCATCATGCAGACCAGCAGCAGTCCACCACCGGTACCAGAACATTTCTAGAGAGCATTGAAGAGCAGCACAGATCTGGCACTCATGTTCTCTGCATGTTTTCTCAGAGCGATCTGCTGGATCTGCTGAATCTGGTGTGTGTGATCGTGGGTCTGGTGTTCTTCAGTTTGGCTCTGTTGTCCTTTGCTCTTTGTCAGTGGAGTCCTGGAGTCAATAATGTGGCTCGAATCAACATCTGCATCAGTCTGCTGTCGGCTCACCTTCTGTTGCTGCTCACACAACAGTTCCTGAGCCTCATTCGCCCTCAGCAGGTGAGAATGATGAAGGAGCTCTACAGCTCAGCACAGCCGCACTGAGAATCATCATAACCCTCTCTCATGCTCTCCAGGTGTTGTGTGTGGTGATAGCAGGCCTTCTGCACTTCCTCTTCCTCTCCGCCTTTGTGTGGATGTTCATTGAAGCTGTGCTGCTCTTCATCTGCGTCAAGAACCTATCACAGGTCAGCTCCAGAAAGAAGGAGGTGCTTAGCAATGGATTTCTGTGTGTGATTGGATATGTGGTTGCTTTGATTGGGGTGAGTGTGTCTATTGGGATGGTTCCAGAAGGATACGGCAGTGAACAGTGAGTTTACTTTTGAGTGATTCAACTCTCAACAGCTTCATCCATATTTTTTCAGTGTTTATTTGATTGTATCTTACTTCAAACAGATGCTGGATTAAAATGGATAAAGGCTTCTTCTGGAGTTTTTTGGGACCTGTTTGCGTCATACTTGGAGTAAAGCTTTTTTTTCTATGACTTAAGTTTAGAAGAAAAACAATCTGATTAATACTGTTTTTTTTCCCTGCACAGTTGAACGTGATTCTCTTCATCAGCATCAGCATCTATCTGAACTCGGCACTCAAAAAGCTGAACGCTGAAGTTTCACAGTTGAAACAAACCAAGTAACAAACATTGGTTTAATTACTCTTTAGAATAACAAAATGTAAAAGTTAAAGATTAAATTTCAATTTCTCTGCAGGGTTATGGTGTTTAAAACACTGGGTCAGTTTGTGATTCTTGGTTGCCCTTGGATTCTGGGTTTCTTCGCTCATGTCAATATGGTGGTGGAGATCGTCTTCATCATCATAAACTCTCAGCAGGGAACCTTCATCTTCCTGATCTACTGTGTGCTCAGTACTGAGGTAAGGCATCACTCTGAGGCCCTGTTTACACTAAAACATTTTACAACGTTTTGCTACGGTTACTACTTCTGTCCACACTACGCCGGAGATTTTGAGTGCTGAAAACAGAGCATTTTGGAAACGCTGTAGAGGCAGTTTTCATTTTAAAATGCTGCTGCTCCGTCTCAGTGTGGATGGGGGAAAACGGAGACTCTGTTTTCAGATGTCTGATTCGGGCTTTTTCCTCAATATTAAATAGCCTAAAAAAAGTTCCGACTTGCAACCTCTCCTTTTAAGTTCAGACTTATGAAGGTTGATATGGAAAACAAACTCCTAAAACTCGTTGGGTAAATCTTAAGGAAACAGTGTACTTTGTACCTCATTTACATCACCCAGGCTATATTGTTTCACTAGCTAAACAATAAAATGAAAACCTGATATTACAAACTGCTTATTTTTATTTTGATATTAACAGACGCCAAGAATGTTGAGACGTTGTGTAGCTGCATTTTTACATGACTGTCAACTTTATGCATATAACAAAACGGAGCCAACAATTTCAGAAATAAAGATACGTGAGCTGTCACTGGGATGGTACCTTTTTAAAAGGTACACATTTGTACTTAAAGGGTCCATATTGGTACCTTAAAAGTATATATTAGTAGCTAAAAATCTTAGGAGGAACACTTTTGCACTTTTTAGGTACCAATATGTACCCTTGAGGTATTAATATGGATCTTTTAGGTACAAATTTGTACCTTTCGGAAAGGTACCACCACCCCAGTGACAGCTCACGTACCTTTATTTCTGAGTGTATAACTGCCTCCTTTAATTTTCACTGAAAATATGAAACATACCCTCTCTTTTGCTGAATATCAGTTTTAATGATCAATAATGTCCATTATAAAAGTATAACATACAATAAATTTATACATTTTAGGAAATAAAGGCAAGCAATCAGTCAAATGTTCAGAATCAGTGTACGTGGTTACATTAATTAATATATTAACTTATGTTCACGCTCAGCCAAAACACAACACCTGAGTTCAAGTAATAGATTCAAAAGACCAAAGTTGGGGAATATGTCATTAGACATGGACAATGTTAATTAAAGATCACGTGTAACAAATATAGTGAGATTAGATCCAGCGGTAGATTCTTGATGAACCGTTCGACGTGCACAGCTCTCACCTGGGGTTCCGCGCTCAAAGCACCTGGTGACTGCCTAGAGCTCAGACATGCACATACCCTGCAGGGCATGCCAGAGTGTAGTGTGGACGAAAAATTGTTTAGAAACACTAGGTGAAACACCAGTGTGGACATGGAACATTTTCATTCTAAAACACCATTTTAAAACTACGTATTAGCGTAAATGGGGCCGAAAAAAAATGATCTCTGGTAAAATTAAGCCTATTTTGCATTCTTCATACAAATACAATGATCTCTCATTCTTGTTCAGATCAGGCAGCAGTACAAGAAGATCTTCACATGTCTGTGCTGTGGATGCAAAACCAACAACGTAAACACGGCCCTCAAAACACGCTGAGGATTACACTTCAGGTTTAGACAATCAAGTGCCATTTTAACATTATTTACACATTAAACATGATGAATGTGACTTTCATTATTTAACATCTTGCACTGTGCTTATTTTACAAATAACATTTATTTAAAATGCTTTATAAATGTAACTTCAACTCATGTTTTCTTATAAACATTTTATTTAAAACCCTTTACAAAAATACCCCAAACCTCAACATTCACACAATCCAAGAAGGAAAGAAAAGCATCTGTGTAGTGATTAGTGAATCAACATGTTTCACAGTCACAATTCATATCATCACTTACATGTATGTAAACTAACATTTTCCATCTTCTTTGGTATTGTTTTATTGAAAAATAAAATCTACTCATAAATTTGTGGCTTAGCTGACTTTTTTTTTAACATGCCAACCACGTAACCTCTACATCAAGTGTGTTTTTTATGTACTTGACGTAGGATTATTCAAGTAGGAATCACCTCGGGCCACCATTACACTGGAAACGACTTAACAGTGGCATCTCTCACAGTCCCATTACACCATATTATAGGAAAAAAGTACAGGGTGCTTTCACAGAAAGACTTCCCTGAGGTGTCCAAAAGGTCCAAAGTGCTGAAGAGAAACCACATCACTGTTCTCTTGCACATCATAGCATCTCCATATCTAAAACAGTGCACAAAAAAAAAACTGGAACAGCTGGAAACCTTCTGCTGGACTAGACCCTAAAGAAATATTGCACCAAAATAAACATGACTTAGAAGCATAAACAAGTCTAGTCCAGCAACGTTTCAGTCCATGTAGTCTCTTATCGGCTGAACATTACAGGAAAAACAGCTCTTTAAATAACGCAGCTCAAGAGAGCTCAGATATTTAAACACTATGAAACAAAACATGGCAATGGTAGTGACTCCAGCTTTATAGTACATGCAGCTCAAGAAGCTGGCAAAACATTTGCAATAGTGTCCTTGGCATTCTGGGAGAGCTTTTCTGGAAACCTGACCTCGTACTCAACAACCAAGTCTCCGCGGCGATCTGGAGCTTTGGGAAGAGGAAGACCTTCCCCGGTGAGGCGCCGCTTCATCCCAGGCCGAACAATGTCCTGAGATGTTACTTTAACCGTGCGACCATCTAGCGTTGGAACGTTAATCACACAACCACAAAGAGCCTGAGAAGAGTGGAGAAGAAAGACTTTAGTAAAATGCAAGGTAAATGAATTATTTCTACGCGATTTTCAGAATTCAAAAACATTACGGCTGAGCAACATCAAAATTGGCAATTGTAAATTTAATATACAGATTGCAGTGATTTGAGATAAATTAGTGATTTAAAACAAACAAATCTTTGAGCGTCCGCCACTAGCACACTGTCTGAAATAATTTTTAGCACTTCAGGAAATGTATTTACTAGAGACGCATGGGCATGGGACGATAACGGTTTTGAGATGTACTGTGGTTTGGAAAAGTCAAGGTTTTTAAACCGTAAAAATGTTCCGCAATACCGTTCCTAAGGTGTGTGTAAATTTATTTATTTACGTTTTTTAGGACAACAATATCTCCAGCAGAATGATTGATTTGAAAAAAAAAAAACGGAGACAGCTAAATTCAATAGTTCATTAAGCCTGACACTTTTACTGCTCCTAAATATTTTAAAGGTTTCTCAAAATAAAATATAGTGTGATCAAAAGGGAAAAAAGTTTTTGTTGTTTACCCAGACATTTAAAAAGGAATATATTCTAGAGCAGTAATCACAACACCGTAAAACCGTGATATTTTGATCCAAGGTATCATACCGTCAGAATCTTATATCAGCCCATGCCTAGACGATGTATCTGCAGCCATATCGTTATCTGCTGAAAAATGCTATTAATAATGTTATCGTTATCATTCCAATTTCAAAATTAGGCTGATATCTTTAAGCCAATTAATTTTGTACTTGTACAGAACTGCCTGCTTTTAAGTGTGGAGCGCGGTTATAAAAGTATTAAATGACTTACAATTGTACAAATATGTAATACTTTTCATTTGACATTTGAGCTGGTTTAAGTACTTAGTACTTTTTCGTTTTCATTTTATTTAAAATGTTTAACTTGTTTGTTAATTAAATCTAGTTGTCATTTAACCTATTATTTTTATGCAACAGTCAAGTTGCATGTAAATTTGCTATGTGGAAAAAAGGAAATGATTTATGTGAAAGTGTGAATAGGTTTATATAATCACCTTGCAATTTTGAAATTATTACTTTTTTTGCTTTAAGAAGGCTATTTTTAGATCAGTTCAAACTTTTATGAAGTTTTTTTTTTAAATAAAATCAGTGGTTCACTGTGCAAAAATATAACATTTTAAAATATTTATATTCATCAGCTAATACATCAGTTATCGGCCTTCAAATCTAAGATTTATTGGCTATCGATATCAGCCCAAAAACCATTTTCGGTGCATCCCTAGTATTTACATGCTAATGTGCATTTCGGAAACCAAGGAAAGTGAACGTCTTAGTTTTCTTGTACAAAAATGTGTAACTTTCAGTATGAACAAGCAACCAAGCCATGTTCAGATACAAGAGTCAAAACAGGCAAGAATTTTCTCCTGTCTGTTTCAAGTGTTTTTGATTTTGCTGATTGATCTTTGATGTTCCTTAATGGTGTGTTTGCTTTCAGAAGTTACATTTTTTGAAATGGTATAAAACATGTTGGTTATTTCAAATATCTAGTGGCCTATAAAATTATTTAGCATGCTATTGAATATTTCTTCAATATCATAGAAATCATCTCACCTCTTTGAGAGTAATTTTTGCAGGATAAATGATGTCCGATCCATCTCGTTTGTACACCGGATGCGGTTTATCCTTCAACACAAACACCACATCTGCAGGGATATTTGACGGCGTCTCGTCGCCTTCCCTGGGGAAGGTTATCTTGGTTCCTTCCTTCCAGCCTTTTTTCACCTCCACTGTCAGAATCTTGTCCTCTGAGCGTGTTGTTCGTCCATCGGGGTTCAGGCGCTTGCGTGAGATCTTCATCTTCTTGGTGCAGCCAGTGAACACTTCATCTAGACTGACACGGAGGTCGTGGATCACTGCAGGGTCTTGTTTTCTCTCCATTCTTCCACCGTGACTATGTGTGGTAAAGGAGCGAGGGAAACCACCAATGCCACCCATACCAAAAGAAGCAAACGGGTCATCAGTTTCCATGTTCTCATCCATACCGCCATTATGTCCAAAAATATGTTCGAAAGGATTTCGCCCTCCGAAGAACTCTGAGAACATCGCATGAGGATCTCCTTGGAAAGTGTATGTGTAATTTCCACCACCACCACCTCCTCCAGGAGCACCTCCCTTCAGTCCTGCAAATGGCACACAAATAAATCAAATTGCAATCTTTAAACAAAAATACAACACTCAAATTTCAAGATTAATTTAATAGTTCATATAAATGTTGATTATTTAGCATAGAACCACTGATCATTTTGATTACTCAACTACACATACTGGTAAAAGGACTGGAGGTTTGTATTCATCTTAACTTGTATCTCCAAAAATATCTAAAGGTTCCTTTTGATAGATTTTCTATTAGTAAATATTTATATTTAAGTGCTAGTCGTTTTAAAATGTTCTGGAATGTGCAAACCCATTTAAGATTGTTTAAAGCTGAACAGGTACAGAACTATTGACGGAACTCAAACGCTCTGCCTCTTCGCACCACGTGACTATCAGAATCTTCCAGCAAGCGCTCGACGCTCTAGAATGTCCCGCACAAGCAGCCAATCAGAATGCAGCATTGCTGATCGGATCTCGTTTACTTATTTTTACAAAATAAAACTTCACTATCACAGATTCAGCAGATTGACTTATCTCTAATTCAAACGTTTGAGTAGTGTAGAGTGCGTCGAAAGCAGCCCAGGACCACGTAACATCATAGATTAAACTGATTCAGCCAGTCAGTAATCTAATCTATCTCTCTTGTCTCAAACGTGACTAGAAGAAAACAAACACGAACACAATAGTTTGTACTTTAAACAACATATCTTATTAGTAAAGGCTCATAATCCCTCTTAAAACTCTTCTTATTCATATTTGCGTCGTGGAACAGAGCCACAGTTACAAATGTTTGCATATTTTTACTCACCTTCTTCGCCAAATCTGTCGTAGATGTCTTTCTTTTTCGGGTCACTCAGCACGTCGTATGCTTCCGCGATCTCCTTGAACTTTTCCTCGGCTCCGGCTGACTTGTTTTTGTCCGGATGGTATTTCAGCGCTTGTTTGCGATACGCTTTTTTAATTTCATCGTCAGAAGCGCCTTTCTGAATCCCCAAAACGCTGTAATAATCTTTCCCCATCTTCACCATTAGGCTTCCGTGTTTCTTAAATGTATATTCTCCGAAAGAAAAACTGCGGTTCAGACTAGTGTTGCTAGCCTGTTTGTTTTCAAACCAACCTGAAACTAATCTTTGCAGAGGTGTCGTCTCGTCCCCTTGCGGTCTTTTATGCTCCTGCCGCTCTGTGGTTCCCCCTATTTAAAACCGTAAAGAAAGTTCTAGAAAATTCTCAAAGTCTCTGGTTGTTTCCACACCCCTGGACCTGGACCACGTGGCAGATCTGCTCCACCCGCACAGCTGCTGCAGCAAACGGGCAAAACCGAAACCAGAAGAAACTACAGCTGCGTTTCTCTATCAAACTATGATGTACTCAAACATAAACAGGCCTGTGTGACGCCATAACGGGCGCTTCTCGGCTGGATTTCGTATGTCGTCATTTATATTTGCATAATCCCCTTACATTCCTGACCGAGTGACCTACAAACTCTGTCCAGGGAAGATGCTATTTTAGACCAATGATGATTCTCATGTTTTAACTGTACTATTATTGTTATAATTATATCTTTATAATATTAAATCATCTACCTTTTAAAAAATCTTATGTTTCATTAAATGTTAAGTGGAAATTATTAGGAAGTATATTTTATTATTATTATATTGAATGGATTGTGTGTGTGTGTGTGTGTGTGTGTGTGTGTGTGTGTGTGTGTGTGTGTGCGCGCGTGTGTGCGTGTGTGTGTGTGTGTGTGTACAAACAGTGCTCAGCATACATTAGTACACCCCTTAACAAATCTTATCTTTTAAATTCATTTTTAAATTCATGTTTTTTAATATTTTAATACGTTTACAATATTATATTTGTGCATATACATTAGTTTAGTCAGTACTGAAGTCAAATCTGGACCAATCTAACAAAATAACTTTCGGTAACGGACCAAAAACTAGTTCACCCATATTAACATGTTATAGAAAAATATTAAATACAAATTTTAATGAGAAGAGAAGCAAAAAAAATAAATAAAAATTTGGTTGAAATTTTGTAGGTTGTAGTTTTTTTTTGTTTTTGTAATATTTTGCTTGAATTTAATAGTATTGTTTTTTAATTTCTAAATATGTTTGGTGGATAAAATAATTTTTAAATAAATATATCCGTTTCATAAATCTGTTTTGTTTATATGCACCAAATATTATTATTATTATTATTGCTTATATTCACTGAGTAAAGGATAAAAATATTAATGCTGAGTACTTGTTATATATATATATATATATATATATATATATATATATATATATATATATATATATATATATATATATATATACACACAATAACAAATTTTAGTTTTCTAAACCTCTCTTATTGTTGTGGGAAAATGTACTTTTGGGCTTTACTGTCTACCCTAGTCAAGAGGAAAATTGGTTTTATTTTAATCATTTGCTTATGTTGTTAACAAAATTTTGATTCATAAATGTAAATGTACTAATAAGCAGTGGTGGAAAAAATACTGAAAAAATCTAACCCAGGTAAAAGTACCATTACTTGGCCAAAAATGTAGTGCAAGTAGAGTAAATGTATCTGTTGTAAATATTACTCAAACTATGAGTAAAAAGTAGACCTTAGAAAAATACTCAGGAGTAGTGAGTACTACACTGTAAAAACCTGATGCGTTTCCATGCAATTTGTGCGTGAGTGAAAACGTAACATTCTGTAGTGCATTTATTCATTGTTTAAGGGCCTTTGGGCAATCTAAACAGCCTCTGGGCCATTGCATATAAGGATTTTGTACATCTTTCTGAACACTTTCAATGCTTTAAAATGGTTTGCTGCCTTTCAAGAGCCCATGTCAAGAGGTTGTTTAAAAGAATGTGATTTAGTTTCTATGTGCAATTTGATTGGACAGAAATCGCAGAACTGATTTTTTTTCTCACCCAATCCCCATAGACAAGAAAAAATAAAGGAGTGATGCAATTTGAAGGAAAATAGTAGGAGTAAAAGTACCAATACAGCACTAAAATGTACTCAAGAGACAGTGAAAGTATATATTTTTAAAACAACTTAGTAAATTACAATTCCTGCGGAAGTCTACTCAATTAAAGTCATTTGAGTATTTGAAATGTGTTACTTTACACCACTGCTAATAATAAACCAAATTGTACGGTATTGATGACTAACATATGAATATTAGTAGTATCAGAGACTCTAAACAAAAAAGCCTGGCGCACTTTAAAAATTGTTAAACTCTATAATGTATTTATTTGATTATATCATATGTACATTCTGTATATTTGTATTTTATTCGTACATACCCCTAGCATTTGTAGTGTTAAATGTTATATACTGTTAATACTTACTGAGTGCTATTGCGGATCTGAATTTAGTCACAGTTTTCACTTTAACATATCTTTACAAAGACTAAAACAAAACTACATATGTGTAAGATGCATTAAATATTAAAAGTATTAAAATTAGCTTGCATTTGTGCATTCTCAGTATCTGTCGTACAACAAAAGGACGACTGTCCTGAAACTACTGCTGTCATTCCACCACACAAGCATTTTTCAGAACAATCGAGTGTTTTCAGGCGCATGTTTTTGCTTCCCATCACCACCAGGCGGCGCTCGTCATATTTGTTTAACGCTCATTGTGTCTAGTCGGATAGAGATTGGTTAGTAGGTCAAAAAGGCGTCTCTGTTGGGTTTGGCCAATGACGAGGTCGAGCGCACGGCTCCGCATTTCTCACCACCTTCAGCCCATTGGATGCTTGGCATCTTCCGTTCTTCGTGATTGGACTTCGCGCTTGTCTTTCACCTTGATAGGATAAGCTATTCAAACTGCAAAGATGAAGCATTACGAGGTAAGATATTATACTGATATTTTTAGAGTACTCTAAATTGTATAGGCGCTTTACCACAGTATTCTGATGCTCTTGGGATGTGGAAATGCTGCAATATAAATTAAGTGCACGCGTTATAGACACTGAAGCTGCAGATTAACATGCTAATGTGACAAGCAGCTCGGCCTAATCGCAAAGGATTGCTCGGTGTTTATATCTATGTATCGGACAAAACACACAAGATTTAAAGTAATTTCACATACTGAACCTGCAGGATTCAATTTCAGTCAGCTTTGGTTTAAATTCAGATAGTAATGGCGCATATCAGCACCCTGAAACAACCTCTGTCCCATATTACAACACAGTGGGTGTAATAGGAGTGTTACTTACAACATAAGAGATGTTTAATATTACCAGAAATGTCCTATAATAATGATAACACATCAATAGACAAGTGCTGTAGGATGGGATTTGACTGTGAACCTCGTGTGCACTTGACTAACCGGTTTGTTCCAACGCCCACTTCCATTCACATGCTAAATAACACACAATAAAGTTGATAATTCTGCTTACAAAACAGGTATATACTGTATTATGATAGTGAGTGTTGACAATCAATGCATCGCACATACTTGTGTCAGCTATGCTTTCCATAAACCCGGAAGTAGGTTGATGTTTCAGTGTTGATTTACTGTTATTCCTAATAAAACACGAAACTACTGAAGATACAGTTTGTGAAGATGGTTTCCATGCTGAAAAAACATGTCAGGATAAAGTGAACACGCTGGACACATTCGGTCAAAGTCTTGTTGATATAAGTGACATAAGCGATGCTTCGTGACGTGCACCAGAGGGCGCCAAACGGCTTAAAAGTTACCTCAGGTAACATAATCGCACATATTAGTGTAAATAAATCGAAGAATAATAAAATAAACACTTTAAAGTTGAAGTATTAATGATAAGTGATCAATTAATATTAGTTGTGTTGTTAGTACTCACTTTTTTTCTTCAAATGTAAGTTGACATAGTTAGCTTAGGGCTTCTCAGCTCTTCAGAAACGTTAGCAGGTGAATGGCGCGCCTGCGGTCTCCATCTTGTAGTTTTGTGCTCTCCTCAAAGTTAGCTTTAAATTTATGTTGGTTTTATTCTGCGTACTTCGCTTTCTGCCGGGGTTTCCCTCGATGGCATTGGGTATTTTCCTCCTATCATCTGTTCATGCCTTTCCAAGTTATTAATAATCTCTCCCCTCCCCTAAATCAGCGCGTCCCCGAGTCTGAACAGCGCGCGCCAAACACAAACCAACGGAAAAGTTGATTGTTATAACTGTAAAATGAAGCTGTACAAGTGGGTGTGTATGGCGATATTTATTTATTCTGATTTTATATAATGAGGAATATATAGTAAAATTAAGACATTTTAAAAAATTTAAGTTTTTTAAAATAGTAATTTTGACAACAATTTATAATTGTTATTTATAAGTATAATAATTTTCTGAGAAGAACAAACTGCTCTAAATCATGATATTTGATTTTAATTTTAAAGAAATGCAACTATTACCACTTTACTCAAATAAATTTACTCATAAATTCAGAGAAAATTAGCGTTTTCAATGTGTCTTCATTTTTTTCATTGAGCTAGAATGTTTATATTTTATGTTTATTAATTTTTTTGACTGAAAATAACCTAATCAATACATAATAGGGTATATGCCGAGCTAGTGCTGTTCCCATGCTGATACACTTCCCGTGACCTGTTATTGTGAACTTTTTCCATTTTATACGGTTCCTTATACAGCATTGATGTTGTAATGTCATTAAAATACATTCAGTTAAATAAACTTTAGCATTTATTTAGTTGCTCAAGCGTAAAACGAGACAAAAAGCTGTTTACTCGCACGCGCCCGTCAGAATCGGCAGGCTAACGCAGAAGCTCCATTGGATATACTGGGGTAAAAATAAATGCTCATATTATAAAGATATGGTGGGGGAAATGTTATTTAATGCAATGCTTCTTGTACAATCTGAGACCCACTTTAAATCGGATATCACTCAGCCAGTGGAGATCGCTGATTTTTAAAGAAAACAGACTTTAAACACACCGGATTTTGCATTGACATTCAATTCACCGGAAGCGCTTAACCCAGGCTACTGGCAAATTAAAAGTCCTATTAGCATGCTTCGGCATATACCCCATTCCTCTATATTGGCACATATACCCTTAAACAGGAGTGCAAATCTAATGAAAGAAGTTTGCAAAACTGCTCTTTATGTAATTGTTTGGGTGTTTGTGTGAATATCGGTATGGTCTGTAAATGAGTGATGACTGGGCTCTGTTACGGTGGTATGTGTGCATCCATAAGGCCAGTTATAATTAGCACATACTGGGACGACTGGGGAGAGTCACGTTTCCACAGTAGCTTCAGATTAAAAAGTGGGGAAAAAACAGAAAAAAGTGCATGCGAGTGAAATAGATACTAATTTTGTTTACTTGTTTGGGTTGCTTGTGTTTGTAAGGAGTTGGGGGCTAACTGTTTTAGATGAACAACAGCGACAACACAGAGAAAGGGGAGGGTGGAGTTCAATAGGAGAGAGAGAGAGAGAGATTTATTTCCACAGCTGACAGTACAACTCTGGTGTTTGGAGGGGAAAGAGGGACTCAGAACTCAGAAAGTGGACAAATAAAACTGACATTATGGACACGTTGGCTTTAGAGGCCACGCAGCCCAAAAAGGCCCAGAATGGAGCCGGGCCAGGGGTCCCTGGGCCCCCGACTCCTGCAAAACGCAAACCTGCTAAAAAGACTAAGAAAGCTGTGGTGTTTTTTGAGGTGGAGATTCTGGACGCCAAGACGAAGGACAAGCTCTGCTTTCTGGATAAGGTAGGACACTTTTACATTAATATTTTGGGTAACACTTCATTCTAAGTCACAATTCATGGTGTTAATTAACACTACTAGCCTAATTAGCTGGTTATTAATAGTTAGTAAGGTAGAAGTTTTTGGTACACTGTAAAAACATCTGTTAATGATTTTTTTTGTCGTGTTTATATTGTTTTCTGTTAATTTATGGTTGTGAATTGCATATGGGATGTTGATTTGTGCTCTGTTGACTCTTGATGTTGAAAAGTCAACTCTGCAGTTTAACAATGTGACTTTTATTGACATTTTTAGCCATTTTAAATAA